GTTGCGGGTTTTAGGGTATATTTTGTTTGCTGTTTTGATAATAGCAGTTCTTTAGCTGTTGCTTAGAAATAGTTTTCTTTTTTGGTTCCTTGGCGACATTTGTGAGAAATCGTTTAAAATGCGATCATCTGTCGGTTTCGTTAGAAAACTTAGAGGAAATTACTAGAAAATTTTGGAAGTCTCCAAGAACGATACTGTGGACAGTTGGAGGTGCCGTATCAGGCTGACGAGAAGTTTGTAATTATTCTGCTTCTTTCCATGAATCCTGCTCTTACAATTTTTTTTGATGTGCAGTAGAATTTTTATACCATCTTAATGGTGCTCATCATTATCTTCATCAGTTCTTGCTCATAGTGTTTTGGCAGATGCCACCGTGAAGTAACAATAAGAGTTTATCGCTTGTTTTTGCTGCTTTTACTACATTTTTGAAGGTCGTGTTTGTAATACTTAAGTTTAGGAAAACCATTTGTTAACAATATTTAGATAGTTTCATTGTCATTTTAGGAACATTTCTCTATCTACTGGCCTTTAGAAATGAATAGCAAACGGAAGTATTGGAGTGGTCATTTACCCAACAAAAAGACCGTTGATGCAGGAATGTCCGGTTTGCTTTTTACCTTCTCTGGAAATGAAAAAACTGCGGTTAGAGAAGCGTATTCGCTTATTGATATGGTGACTGAAATGTGTGCTCTCGCTGAAAAATCAAAGGAGTTTGAAGTTTGTGAACTCAAAGGAGAAGGTACAGAACTGCCAAAAGCAGAACAGGATATTGAGGAATCTGATGATGAGGATGTCTCGGATCTGGTAAAACGATATTGCGATAAAGGTTTGTTTTCATCTGGTTTTTTTAGATATATGTTGCCATTGGAGTGTGTGCTGCTAAATCTTTTAATCAATTTGATTTTTAGTTTTTAAAGTTTCCTCCTGTTATTTTATAGGCTTATTTTAGAAAGAAACGCAAAAGATCAAAAAAAGTATTTAACGGACGGAATACGCCAAGTTAGTTTGAAAGTGAAGTGCTGTTTATTTGTAAGTATGGAAGATTCTGAGAAGGTGTATGACTATGCGGACAGAATATTTGAAATGACGTCAGAAAAACCATGTTGCAGGAAATTACAACGTGTTATACCCGTAGAAGTTACCTGCCCTCTTGATTTTGCAGTGCTAAATCAAGTATTATTTATTTTTATAGTCAGCATCTGGTTTTAATAGTTTTACCATGTAGCAATTTTATAGTGGTTTTTCGAAAAAATTTTATTTATTCATTTAAGTAATTTGAAAGGCCAAAAACAATTTCGTCATATTTTTTTTAGAAAATAACAAAAATGATTTCTCGATATTTTGTTAGCGACGCGGACGGTAAATGGCCTACATATTCAGTCGAAATTATTCGACGAAATAGCGGCGAATTAAGTCGTAAAGATATTCTTAGCATGGTAGATGACGCAGTTTCTCAGTTAGCGCCGCAATGTAAAGTCAATCTTCGAGCACCCGATATCTCTCTGTTGATTCAAATAGTAAGAAGGACAATTTTTTTATCTTGTATAAAGAGTTACCTCTCGAGGAGGAAATTAAGTCTACATAAGACTGGAGTTTAGTCGTTGTTGTTGTAACTGCTCGTTCGTTTCACATTTCTTCATTATTTCACTTGTTGTTTCCTTTGGTTGCTGTAAGGATGTTGTGAAAGCCGACTTAGTTTTGGGGTGGGCAAAACTTGGTTTTTATTTTGTGAGTTAGTACAATAGAAGTGTGAGCAGAGTTTGTCAAAATATGGTAAATAAAACAAATGAGTGGTGGCGAAAGTGTGGCAGCTGTTGACTT